GAGCTCGAATTTTCCGACGCTGAGGCGCGGGATAGGGTGGCAGGGGTTGTGCACGACGCAGTGCAGCAGGCTGTGATGCAATATGGCTATGACGACGAGCTCTACCAGGCATGGAGGGACGGCAAGATAGGCGAAAAGGACTTGCCGGAGGAGGTGATGGCTATGACTTTGGACCTTTGCGAGAGGTGGCGAGCGGAGCAAGCGCGGTGTAGGCGCGCCCACGCGGCGCAGCGGCTCTCCCGCGACCATAGCCCCTCCCGCAGCCGCAGCCGTAGCCGCAGCCCCAACTCTTGCTGCTCTTCTAGTGTCGGGTAGTGACCAGGGGGTGAGGGGACGGATTGAAGATCCCTCACACCAAGATCGTGCAGGGCGGGGACACATGTCCCTAAATCCCATCTCGTCTCAGAGTTTGACCGTTTTTATTTATTTATCCCCCGCCCCCACGCCGTCAGTAGAGCTGTTTAACATTAACTTTGGACCTAACAGTTGCGCTAGTGTTGGCTGAAATCCTTAACGTTGTTCAAGTGTTCACCCCAGCCCATGCTGTTACTGTTTGTTACTGTTGTTACTGTTGTTCAGCGGCCAGCATGCAGCAAGCAGAAAATGGCAAAATCCCCGGGTAAAACCCGAAAATACCTGGCTCCTGGGGGTTTTCCGGGTATTTTCGGGTATTACCCGCACTGGAGTCTGGACGCTGGAGATCGTCGTGGGTCACTGCCCCAGGCCTTCCTTATTGTTGTTCAGCCGGCCTAACGTTAGCTACTGTTGTTGGGGAGCCCCACTGTTGTTCTGTTGTTACTGTTAACACTAGCAACACTGTTCAGCTCCCAACGTTAAACAGCTCTAGCCGTCAGGCTAGTGAGCAGTGTGCGCCGCTCTCCGCGCTCGACGGGGTCGCGCTGGGCCGCAGGCTGGGGTCGTGTGATTCGTTTATCCCTATAACAAGCTTGCTCTCCTGCCTGCACGCTGCACCCCATTATAACGGCTAGCCACAGAAATTTATTCGTTCCCCACGAAGGGGTGCATTTGAGGCTCCGGCGGGGCGCGTGCGCCGCCCGCGCGGGGACGGGGCTAGGGACGGGGGGTCGACCGGCATGCTTGCGGGAATCCTCAAGTTCGTCCCGCGACCTCCTCGCTCGCCTCCGTGTCGCTGAGTCCGCGCCGCTCCCAGCACGCCAGCGGCCGCACCGCGTAAGCGGTCAGCCGCGGCGCGCCCGCGACGAGCGCGTCCACATCCGCCCGCGCGAGGCCCGGCCCCGGCTCGTGCCGCCCGTACAGGGCGGGCAGAAAATCGTCGAGCGGGAGGAGGTGCGAGAGGAAGCCGGAGCGGAGCAGCTTGCGCGCGCCCGAGGCGTAGAGCACGTACGCGGTCGTCTTGTACGAGAAGGAGGGCCGCACGAGCCGCAGCCGCACCTAGTCCCGGCGCGGAGCCGTGACGGCGCGAGAGGCGGGAGGGGAGCACGGCGTCCGCCCTCCCGCGGCCGCACATACCTCAACGCCGCTCGGAG